GGCGAGCCCTCTCCTGCTGCCAGGAACCAGGAGGGATAACAGGCCCGGCAGCTCTACTGGGGCCTTTCCTTCAGGCCTGGCAGCCAGCCTCGATCCTGCAGCGCTGCCAGGGGCGGCTCCCCCGCGGTGCCCTAGTCATGCCCAGGGCCTTCCCAGCAGCTCCGGCGGCACAAGGAATAAGCCAGGTTCAAGCGGCAGGAGGCAATTCCCGGGGCATGTGGTGCCGATGTCCTCCCGGCGGCCGAGGGAAGGGGAGGGAAGGGGAGGGCAGCCGCCAGCGCCGGACCCGCACCTGTGGACCGCAGAGAGGGTTGTGGCGTCCAGCACCGCACCCCCCGGACATCACTACACACCACTCGGGCCGGGCGGCTCCAGCATTCCCGCCGCGGCCCGGCCACCCCGCGCTGCACTCACCAGGGAGAGGTGGAGGGTCCCGGCTCCACGTCCCGCAGCGACCAATGTCCCAGCCAGGCTGCCCTTCCCCTTCCTCAACCCCACCCACACCCCGGAACTCGGCCACCGCCTGCACGCCCAGCTGACACTGACGTCACGCCGCGGGACTGCGCAGGCGCGGGGGCCGCGCAAGGCCGGTGGGGTGGGGGCTAGCACGTGCCTGGGCGCTGCTCTGCGTGTAGGGCCGTAACGGCTTTTCTCGCGACTACCTGGGATCACTAACCCAGCCTGTCCCAGCCCCAGCCTAGGACTCCCTCTGCTCGTGCCAGACCAGCTGCTGTCGCTTCATCCTCCTCGAGCCAGCCCCTGGCCCTGGTCCTGGCCCTTTTCAGCTCACAAAGGGACCCTGCGGGGTCTCCAACAGCCTCCACTTGTTCATAACCTCCCGCACTGTTTTTTTAATCTCAGTGCTCTGCCACAGCGCCTGGCAGCTTCTGTTTGAACCCCCGTCCCTCTGTGCTAGAGGGATTTAGCCCCTGCCACACCTCAGCATTTGCTTTGCCTTGCTTTCGGCAAAGTCTCTGTTTTGCCCTGTGAGGATGAAATGCTGAACGCAACAGCATCTCTCTTTAGGTCTGTTGTCCTGTTTCTCCACAGGAAAAAAGGCCATGCAAAATTGCCAAGCAATGCCTATGTAGAAGCGGGGGAAAGTTCTCCAATAAAGCATCATTTGCTCCAGTCCCTCCCTAGAAGTTGGGGACATTGCTCAAGGGTGTCAGAGCTGCTTGCAGGTGCCAGTCCAGGCACTGGAAACACCTTCAATTCCTTGACCTGCTGCAAAGCATCCTCTGGAGTCTGGCCCAAGGCCTCATCAGCAGTGATCTTAGGGTTATTGAGGCCCTGAACAAGAGAGTCATTTGGGGACCCTTAGAGGCTCAATTTTGATTATCCTATAAGCAAGTCAGACATTTTCAATTTCACTTTGCCCTATCCATGCAATTGCAATAAAAGTATCTTAAAACAATATTGATAATACAAATATGAATTACAATAAATATTACAACATACAATAAATTAATGTAATTTGTTTTTATCTGTATAAAATGCGGGGCCCTGGGTGGTCACCCAGTTTTCCCTCCCCTAGAGCCACTACTGGCCACATGGAGTGCTGGGGGGTGGGGACAAACCCGTGAAACATTTGTAAATGTAGATGCTTCAGAGTCAGTGTCATAACTTCCTGAAAGTCTTTGTGCAACATCAGAGAGATTAAAACAGAAAATGAACCCAAATTTCCTGAGTTCTGCACCACTGATTTGACCACAAGATAATAATCCTCTGAGTCACTTTCAACCACTGAGCATTAGAACTCACTATATATGCCCCCCTGCTTAGTCAGTAATATACCTTAACTGCTTCCACTAAAACATCTGCAGTATCCTCTCCAAAACTAGGATTTTTGGTCACGCATCAACACCTAGATGCTTGTCAGGTTTCAGTCATTTAAGTCAGTGGGACTTCATAGGATGGAGCAATGCTTCTACTTAAAAAGAGCTGTAAAACAGTGTCAGGAGAGAGATAGCATCCTCTTACATACCTGTTCTGAAATTTCTGCTGGCAGCTTTTCCTCCTGGTATGTAATGCTCACTCTCCATTCAGGATCCTGTATGGTGGCCTATGTACTGGCTAAGTCACACCTAGTCACCTGCAAGGCTTTTTCAAAGGTCACAGTGCCAACTTCATCTCTTCATTCCTGCCCTGCATCAGACATTGCCATGTGTCTTAGTGTGGTGGAGTTTTTTTAAATGTTTAAATTAGTGGTTGGGTTTTTTTCTTACTTCTTTAAGAGCCTTTACTGTTCCAAACCTCCTCACTATCTCCAGAAGTCATCTCCCTATCTGATTACCAAAGAGAAGTGCAGGGTTGAACACACACACACACACACACACACACACACACACA